GTATGAACTTGGGAGGGACAAAAACTTGTGTATGTCTGGAGAAAGACTCAACTGTCCTTCTTCAACAATCTTAGCAGATGGAGAAATAAGAGCTTCTATGCTGATAACAATAACCTTCATTTCTTGGAGGAATTTATGAGAAGGTCAAATTTGCCATAAATTCGCCAACTTTTTTAGATGACTACTAAGTGACAGGTGATTTTTAACACAGGATCACATGTAATTTTCAAAGGATCTTGTGCCCAGCCAGTGTGGCTCAGAGGTTGAACATCGACCTATGATCCAGGAGATCAAGGTTGGATTCCTGGTCAGGCCACACACCTAGGTTGTGGGCTCCATCCCAGTAGGGGGCATGCAGGAGGCAGCCGATCAATGACTCTCATCATTGATGTTTCTATCTCTCTCCCTCACTTCCTCTCTCCGAAATCAAGAAAAGCATATAAAAAAGAAAAAAAGAAAGGATCCTGTAAATATCAGTTGAGTGGGTTTGCCATCTTCACTCAACAACAATTTTCTGCACTTCCCTTTTAGATAACCTGTATAATCTCAGTTGGTTGAGCATATTCTCCTTCCTTTTGATATATCTCCTAAATCTTGTGAGTTTCTGCTATCCTCTACATGACTGAACACACCTGAATACCTTTATAGGTGCCATCAGGCACACCAAAATTATTATTTTGCTGTGGGACAGATACACAGACAAGAAGCAGTGGAAGAAAGGATCATTATTATTACTTTTTAATTAGGATGAGCATGTCTACATAGAAATCATTTTTCACCTACTAGGGAGATCTAAGCTTGGGGGAATTTAAACTCCGTAGATGTTTGCTCCACAGTGACTTCCATCCCCTTCCTTCATCTATCACTTATGAGGGAGGCACTGGGTTTTGACCACCTAGGTAAGCTGATTCATCCATGTATGTGTTCAGTGGGCAGGTTCAAATAAGATACTTCATTAAACTCTTGTTGTAAATATGAGGTATTTTTAAAAACCCTCTCTCTAATGTCAGGGTTACATCCTCAAATTTGGGAAATTATGGGCCAAATCATACTCTACTCACTGGTTCATTTGTAAAACATTTTAAGAATATGTTGAAGATATCCAACAGAATGACCAAGTACCTAAAGATCACTGTTCAAATTCGAAGGAACTTTTGCCATCAGGGGGATTCTAGAGTTAAGGATGGATGATCATGAGACTTTAGCAGGGAGTAGAAGTGCTCTATGTTGGGGGTAGGGCACGATATTTGGGACTGTTTCACTTTGAGTGTGTGAAGCCTTCAGAGGAGACAACAGTGATGAGCTGGTCAATAAGCCAGGTTCCAGATTTGGACAGGAGGGCACACAAGGGAAGACCAGGGGGAAGGGTGTTGTTATGTGGGAAAGTGCTTGGACTAGATAGAAATGCCAATATTTCATCTCTCAAGGAACTCTGGGACTTGGGCAGGAAGAACCTTGGTAAATAAGGCATGGACATTACCCAGATTGTGTTTGATTGGCACTGCCACCTTCCTTCCTTAGGCTTGCTTTTAGCACCTTGGCCTCAGGGTCCCACTTTGAGTTGCCAGGGAGACATCATGCAGTACTGAGAAGAAAAATGGTTTATGAATCAGAAGGTTGGCCACAGGCTGGGATGGATAAGAACAACATGGACTTTAGATGAATTCAGAAGAGGGATCTAATGTCAGCTCTCTCACAAGCAATGTGGTCCTGGGAAAATTACCAGGCCCTATGAGCCTCAGGTTCTTCCTCTGTGAAGTAGGTGGGTTTGATAAGCCCTGTCTTGTAAGACTGAGGAAATGCATGGAGTGTTTGTAAAGCACCTCACAAAGTGCCTCGTATATATTGGAACTATGATGAATGGCAGTTATTTCTAATATTATATTACCCCCAAGCCTTACTACCCTCAACTCTGGAAAATTTGGGGGTTTATAAAAATTTATTGTTGAGAGTATTACAGATGTCCCTCATTTTCCCCTCTGCCCCATCCACAAAGTTCCCATCCCACCCCTTCACCACATTATTGTCTGTGTCCATAAGCTATGCATATATGCATATAAGTTATTTGGTTAATCTCTTCTGGCCCTGCCTCTTTTCCCTCTGAGATCTTTCAGTCTGTTCCATGCTTCCATGTCTCTGAACCTATTTTTTCGTCATTTTCTTTTGTTCATTAGATTGCACGTATAAGTGAGATTATGTGATATTTGTTTCCTTCTGACTGGCTCATTTCACTTAGCATAATATTCTCCAGGTCCATCCATGCTGCCTCAAAGGGTAAGAGATCTTTCTTTTATACAGCTACATAGTACTCCATTGTGTAAATGTATCACAGATTTTTTATCCACTCATCTACTGATGGACACTTGGGTTGTTTCCAGATCTTAGCTATTGTAAATAATGCTGCTATGAACATAGGGGGGCATAAGTTATTTCTGATTGGTGTTTTGGGATTCTTAGGATATATTCTTAGAAGGGGGATCACTGGGTCAAATGGAAGCTCCATTTTTATTTTTTTGAGGAATCTCCATACAGTTTTCCACAGTGGCTGCACCAGTCTGCATTTCTACCAGCAGTGTACTAAGGTTCCCTTTCCCCACATCCTCACTGGCACTTGTTTTTTTGTTGTTATTGATGGTAGCCATTCTTACAGGTGTGAGATGATACTTTATTGTAGTTTTAGTTTGCATCTTTCTGATGATTAGTGGCTTTGAGCATTTTTTCATATGTCTCTTGGCCATCTGTATGTCCTCTTTGGAGAAGTGTTTATTCGGGGGTTTTTCCCAGTTTTTAATTGGATTGTTTGTCTTCCTTTTGTTCAGTTCTGTATATATTTTTGTTTTTTATTTGTTTTTCAGATATCACAGAAAATGAAATGCAATAGGAAACAGAATATTAAATTAGCCAAAACTACTACTTCATACATAAAACTCAGCACAATTTATTCCTAAAGGATCAATTATTTAATTTGGATGTGGGGGAGTCTTCCCCAGATTCCCCTAGGAGCAACTCAAAGGTCCCAGAATTTGAGTAAAAGACCAACTTCTTTCTTCCCCCCCAGCTGCTCTTAAAGTCAAACCATAATTTTCATTCATTTCAACCTTACCAAATATCAAGCCTTTGCTTAGAGTTGTGCAAATTACACTAAGATAATCTAATTAAAATACTGTATTTAATAGAATGGATATAGCAATCCATAGCCAGGGAAAAGAGTATCAGTATTAGAGCCTTCTGGGTACCACTTCAGAAGAATATCACTGGATTTTCCAGAAATCCTTGCAGATGATGGGTATAAAACATCTAGTTTATACAGTGTATTCAAGCGTTCTGGGACAAGAAGTGTAGGACACCTTCCCTATATGTCCCAGGTGGAGACTGCTCTGGCTTATCCATTATCCCCAAAATCACTGCTAAGTGCAGTTTTACATTCTGGGTTTTTCTCTCATCTCCCAGCACATGCTGTCTGTGAATCTGGCAGCAGCCATCTCCCAGCTTCGTTACAATTAACTCCTCCAGAAGAAATCACAGTTTCCCAATGCCCCAAATATCCTGGCTTGGGCCATTTACACTTGTGTGCTCTCCCCTGGAGCCCCACCACCTCTCCCCTTCTTTTATTTGTTCTGTGGGTCTTATGGGACACCTCATTACATTCCTTATATGACTGTGGTTTCTAGACTATCATTCTATGGGTGGATGTGTCCTGCTTATGCTAGTGTCCCCACTACTAACACAGGGCGTTCCTGAGAGCCAATGTTTAATTAATGATATGGAAGAAATGAGCCAGTGAGCAGGTATTATTTAATCATATTTAATTTCTCATACATTTTTTAATAAGCCAAGCATATCCAGGTATACATCTTATAATTTTATAGAACAATATGATAAAAGGGATAAGGGAAGGCCAGAATTAATTTTTAAAAACTTTTTCTGCTGACTTCTTTTACATTTCCAAGGAAACTTTTTTCAGTGCCATGCTATCTTGTTTCAGATCACAAAATAAGATGGAAGGTTTCCAATTTGTTTTACAAAACACCAAAATGCAGAGCATCTTAAAACAGCAAGAGAAAAATAACTTGCTATATACATGGGGACCCCCGAACCAGCCCCATAAAACTATCAGCAGATTTTTCAGCAGAAACTTTGCAAGCCAGAAGGGAGTGACACAATATATTCAAAGTGCTGAAAGCAAAAAACTTTCAACCTTGAATACTCTTCCCAGGAAAGTTATTCAGAATTTGAAGGGAGATCAAGTTTTCCAGACAAGCAAAATCTAAAGGAGTTCATTACCACTAAACTGGCCTTACAAGAAATATTAAAAGGACTTCTTTTGAGCTGAAAAGAGAGATGCTAATTAGTAACAAGAAAACATATGAAAGTATAAATCTCAGTTGTAAAGGTAAATATACAGTAAAGATAGTAGATTAATCACTCATAAAGCTAGTATGAAAGTTAAAAGACAACTGTAGTAAAAATAACTGTAAATACAAAATAGGCAAAACACTTATTAAACTGGGTAAACTGCAATACATTTGTGACGTCATTTGTAAACTTAGAACTTCAAGTTAATTAAACCTTCCATTAATAAGAACAACATCTGGCCCGGCCAGGTGTGGCTCAGCGGTTGAGCGTCGACCTAGGATCCAGGAGATCAGGGTTCGATTCCCTGTCAGGGCACATGCCCGGGGTTGCGGGCTTGATCAATGACTCTCTCATCATTGATGTTTCTATCTCTGCCTCTCCCTCTCCTTTCCTCTCTCTGAAATCAATAAAGATATTAAAAAAAAAAAGAAAAAAAAAAAAAGAGGCTAATCCTTAAAATTAAAAATAAATAAATAAAAACATCTGAAAAATTCAAAAAAGAAAAAATATCTCCAAACCACCCTTATAGAACAGGAACACAAAGCTGTTATATACTAAATTCTCCCAGTTCCTATTCTGCTTCTCCACTACTTAGAACAGTGACCACTTGGTTCAAAATCAGAGTGAAAAATATTCCTCAGGCTTCACTTAGAGCAAGAGAAGCTGCTGGATGTGGCTCTAGAATAGGCCCAGACCCTGGTCCTGGCTGCCCCACTCTCACTGACAACAGCTCTGGCTTGGGATCTCTCTTTCTCATCTTTCAAAGCCTCCTCATAGCAGTTAGGGAAGGCCATGGGGATGGTATCATTGACCTCGGCCAAAAGCTCCAAGACTTTCATCTTGCTGGTTTCAGCATGGGCTCTGGGACCCCACAAGAACTCATAGCATGCAGGATTGCTGTTGGGCACCTGTCGGTACTCCAGGTATTGTTCTTGCACCCAATCTTTGGTGATGAGCTTCCTGGGCTCCCCGTAGATGAAGTGCTCCCTTCCATCATAAACCCCCATAACACTCAGTACTTCCCAGATGACCCCCTCAGGGGCACAGTTGCCATTCATGAAGATCACACCCAGAATATTTATCAAGAGGCCGGTCTTGGGAACACTCTGCTCATCATTCAACATCCCATTGCAGGTGAGGCCCAAGGTGGTGACCAGGACATAAGAGTGGCTGGTAGGATCCACTTCCTTCACATCAATGCCAAAGACCAACTGCATGCACTCTGATGCTTCGTTAAAGATCACAAAGAAGTGATCTTGGTATTCTTTGATGACACTACTCAACATTTCTGCTTTTGTGATTGGTTCCTTTGTTCTGTACTTGAGGAGCAAGAACCCCACCAGACCAGCAACCTTATCTTCTATAGCATCTCTAAGCAAGGGTCCAGTGTCTAGCAGAGCTTGGGAAATGCTTGGCCCCTCCTCTTCCTGGGTGCTGAAGCCCTTACATGATCTTATTGAAGGAGTCACTGCCATAACAGTGGGAGAAAAGTAGCCGCTCTGAGGAAGCTGGAGGGGATGTGGTGCCTTAGCAGGATCAGCATGTACCTTCATGATTCCTGTTATCTGACAGTGGGAGGAGGAAAGGGGAGAAAAAGAGGAGGAGGAAGAAGAGGAGGAAGAAGCATAGGAGGAGGAAGAGCAGGAGCAGGAGGAAGAAGAAGAAGTAGAGGAGGAAGAGGTAGAGGAGGAGGAAGAGCAGGAACAACAGCATGAAGAAGAAGAGGAAGAAGAGGAGGATGAGGAAGAGGAGGAGGAAAAGGAGGAGGAGGAAGAAGAAGTAGAGGAAGAAGAGGAAGAGGGAGAGGAAAGGCAGGAGCTGGAGAGGAAGGAGATGGCTTCCTCCGCCTTAGTCTCAGGAATCTGTCCACCCAAGTGGCCCTGTGCCTCACTTTGGGACTGAAGGCCTTCTTCACGCATGTAGCACCAATACTTTGGAGTAGGAAGCATGATGACTCTTGTTGGCAGGAATATGAACAGGAGGTGGGCGATGAGATCCACGGGCTTGGGAGAGAAAGCAAGTGTGAGTGGCATCAGCTAAGAAACACACCTTTGGCAGCTCTGACAAAGGCAACTTACAGGTCTCCTCTTTAGGGGTGCTTTTGGGCTTCACAGAGGTCTCTCCTCTGGGGAAGTCTGTCTCCTAGGATTCTGAATGAGGAAGTGAGATTGTTCCTCAGGGTGCCGTCAGTACTCTCAAGGTTCTGGGGCTGACAATAGGGTGAAGTGGGGTTGGGTGCTGTGGGATCCGGTCTGTTTTGAGATGGGGGAGACTTTGGGGACACACTCAGGTTATGCACCTCACCTTGACTGCTGGCACCACCTAGGCCTCTTCTGCTCTGTGACTTGAGGGTATGTGCCTCACATCAAGACTTTTGCCTTCCAGTTTCTGGTGCCCCTGTAAGAGGAAATAAAGTAGCCCCTTAGGGTGCAGGCTGCAAACACAGTCCCAGGCTCCCAGTGTTCACAGAGCTTTGTGAGGACTTTGTGAGGCAGACTCTGAGAGGTACCCTTTGTTCTGGGGTACTGGTCCCCTGTGTGTTCACTTATGGTCCTCAACTTATTTCTGGCAGAGCTTGGGGTCCACCCCTCTGCTGGTTTGAGGCAAAACTCAGAACAAGATCACATATCCCTGAGACTGAACAGAATGAAGTGAGAGAATCCTATATCTAGCCACACCTGAGCAGGGCTTCCAGGGGAACAGTAAGCTGTGGCTGCATCTCTGTGGAGTGCATCTCAGTGGGATGTGGGGTCTTCTCAGTCATCACCTTGATGCTTGGCAAGGCTTCTTTCTGTTTACCTGAGTTTCCCCTCTTTAAACAAAGGTCTTACCTTTATGTGAGATCAAAGACGAAAATGAGGGACCACCTAATGCAGCCACACCACTTCACGTTCTCTCATGACTGAAAGAAGTTGCAGGGAGGGCTCGCTTTCCATACATTATCCTGTGAGTTCACTCAATCTTCTCTCACAGTCCTTACCATGACTCCTCAAAAGGCCTGGACCTCTTCCTTCTGCATCCGTGAGTACAGCCCTCTGTGGTTAAGCCTCACCTTCCTCAGATGCTCAAGTAAGAAGTCAGGAAACATCACATTCTCAAACACTTCCCCACCCCCACCTGAAGCTACCAAGGATTGACAGCAGGAGACTGTTTCTGCGAAATCCCCTTTGTTCTTGGGGACAGGGTCCCATAGTTCTCCCTATGTGTTCTCAGCTTGACTCCCGGCAAGACCTTGACCTTTCCTCTGCTGACCTGAGGCCCTCTCCTCATACTAAGCCCCCAGTATCGCTTAGACCAGGATGAAGAAGTCAAGAAACACCCCTGTGGTCATCCTGCATTGGGGCCTCCCAGGCTTACTCTACTTTGTAGTCCAAGTTCCCTCCATCTTCCCTTTCCATCCTGGCACAACCTAGGTCCTCCCACTGCCATCCTGAGGCCTTCCTTCAGGAACCAAACCTCCAAAATCTCTCTGACGCCATGTGGTCTTCCTGCCCTGGAGGCTCCTAAGACTGAGTGTTCTGGGATCCAAGGCCCCTTAGTCTTCCTTCTGTGCCCTCACCTTGACTCAAGCAGGGCCTGCCCCAACACCTCTGTGAACCTGAGGCCCTTTCCCTTATACCAAGTCTTCAGGAGTCTCTCCTACCCAGTATGTGGAAGTCAAGAAACACCGCGTGTGGTCATCCAGCCCTGGGGACTCCCAGAGCTGACAGCAGGGGTGGGCTTCCATGCGGTCCCCTGTTGTGGGGTCCCAGGTTCTTCTATCCTCATATTGACTCTGACAGATCCTTGGCCCTCTCTCTGCTGACCTTAGGCCCTGTTCCTTACAATGAATCCTTGGACTCTCTCAGACCCGGATGTGGAAGTCAGGAAATGCCGCATTTGGTAATCCCGCCATGAGGACTCCCAGAGCTGACAGCAGGGGCGGGCTTCGGTGGGGCCTCCTCTGTTGTGGGGTCCAGGGTCCCTTTACTGTTCCCTCAATGTCCTCACCTTGACTCTGGCAGGACCTGGGCCCGCTCTCTGCATATCTAAGGTCCCGTTCCGTACACCAAGCCTTCAAACTCTCTGAGACCCGGATGCAGAAGTCATGTGTAGTCGTCATCCTTCCTAGGGAGCTCTTAAGTCTGATTCTGGGGTCCAGGGTCCTCCTTAGTGTTCCTCACCTTGGGCCTTGGCAGGTCCTGGTATCCTCCCTCTGTTGACCCACGACCGTACTCCTCAGATCAAGATTTCACTGCCCCGAGTCCTCTGGGGGAATTCAGTGGGTGTCACATCAGGCTGCCAGGCCCGGCAATTTCCAAGCTTGATGGTAGGGGCTGAGATGGATTCCATAGGGTCCTTTAGCCCTCCCTCTGATCCATACTTTGACAGAGCCTGGGCCCTCTGTCTTCTATGGACCTGACTCTACAAACTTCAGACCAAGGGTCTGACTCCCTGAGTTCCCTGAGGTGGTGGGGGCAAGAGGAGGTGGAGTTTTCTACATACAAACATGAAGCCCAACTTTCAGAATTTAAATAACTGCCTCATTCACCCTATACTATTAAAACCTAAGCCTAGGTATTACACCTACTAAGATCAACATCACCCCCAAGATTTAAACAAGCCTAAAATAACCAGTTGAGCAACTCTATTCACTGAAGATAGCCTAAAGGCAGTGATTTCAACCTTGAAAACAGAAAACTAGAGAGAGCCACATACACAGTGGGAAAAGGGGGTGAGATGGAGAATTTATCTGGTAGTAGCCAAGAAGTTAGTTGTTTTCAAGGTGAATAAGAGCAACCTGTAACAGGAAAGTAGGATGATTCACATCTCCACAGAGACAATTGCATTACTTTGAAAGGATTTTAGGTAAGACGTAGAAAAACTAACTAATGGTTTAGGGTGAGAAAGAACAATGAACCACTGAAATGAATGACCTAAGGAAAGGTTTTGAGGAAACATCATGGTCCTACCATGTGATCCACCAGAATTGAACATGGGGTCAATAAATTTGAGAAGGCTCTTTAGGAGTGCTAAGGAAATATCCCTTTTATCTTACCAAAGCATCTTGGACTCCTCCTCCCCTCCCCCATGGAGGTGTCGGGATGGTGCTTTGTGATGTTTAAGCTTCTCGCCCAGGGCTACTATTGGCTGGAGGAGAGCCTTGCTGACTAATGAAAGCCTAGGGGGAGCAGCTCCTCATTGTCCTAGAGAAAAGCATATATTCCCCAGGCCTGAGGTAGATCCCTGAGAAATTTTGACATGGTAAAGGTGGCCAAGAAACCACAAACTCTTAACACAGTTATGAAACAACCAATCCCAAGCACCAAAAGAAAGTAAAAGAGAAAGAAACCCCGTCAACCTATGTCCAATGTCAAGGATGAAAGACCACACCCAAACTTTTTCAACTCTTCTTCAGTGGCACCTCCCCAAGACTCCCTGTTCTTGCTTGGCAGACCCCATCCTCAGCCCCCACTTTTCCTCATTAAGCTTTCTTTCCTTCCATCTTCACTATCTTCTCCCAAACCAATGTCTTTCTGTGCTCACCCTGTTGTTCTTCCAGGTGCCCAAGACAACCATGGAGGTAAAAAGATGCCTTTAAGGGAGTTCAAGGAAAAGAGCCTTTCCAAAAATTCCTACCCCTTCAAGAAAACCGAAGAAAGCTAGAAGGCCAACATTATGTGGCCATTATCATAGACCAAATGAGGAACTGAATAAAAATTATCCAGAACAACACCAAGACAATGTAGAAAAATTCACCACCTCGAGTGATGACTTGGGCAGCCAGTAACCTCAGAGCAAAGCCAAAGACCTCAGGACTATCTGTGAAATCTTTGAAGTCTGGCTCCTGAGAAATGTCTGACAGTGTGGAAGCCAAATCTTATACCTACAGGGTACACCAATAGTGATTATTAAAATAAAATCAATAAGTGGTTCATTCCCAGTGCAAGCAGTAAGTTGCAGAGAAATTTTTTTTGAATTTATTGGGGTTACATTGATTAGTATAATTAGTAGAATTAGTAGAATTAAAAGAATTCTGTGTTTCAAGTCTTCTATAACAAGTCATCATGTATATTGTGTTGTATTGCGTTCACCACCCAAAGTCAAGTCTCATTCAGTCACCATTTATCCACCTTTTAACCTCTTCTACTGGTCCCCTCCCTCATTTCCCTCTGATAATCACCATACTGTTGTCTGTGTCTATTTTGGGGGGCTTAGTCACTTCACCTCTTTTACTCAGCACCCTAAGGCCCCTCCACTCTGACAGCTGTCAGTCTGTTCTCTGTATCAATGAGTCTGTTTCTATTTTATTTGTATATTTCACTCATTAGATTCCACATATAAGTGAAAGCATGTGTCTTTCTCTGACTGGCTTATTTCACTTAGCTTAATATCCCGTAGGTCCATTCATGCTGTTGCAAAGGAAAGATTTTCTTCCTTTTTAAGGTTGAGTAGTATTCAATTGTTTAAATGTATACCACAGCTTTTTTATCCATCTATCTACTAGTGAGCACTTGGGCTGCTTCCAAATCTTAGCTATTGTAAATAGCATTGCAAGGAACATAGGGATGCATATATTGTTTCAGGTTTTAATTAAAAAAAAATTTTTAATCCTCACCCAAGGATATTATTTTTATTGATTTGAGAGAGAGGAAGGGAGAAAGAGGAAGAGGGAGGAGGGAGGGAGAGAGGGAGGGACAGAGAGAGAGAGAGAGAGAGAGAGAGAGAGAGAGAGAGAGAGGGAGAGGGAGAGAGAGAGACAGAGATGTGAGAGAGAAACGTCAATAAGTTGCCCTGACTGTGTGGATCAACCCAGCAATGTAAGTATGTTAGGTATGTGCCCTGACTGGGAATTGAACCCACAGCCCTTTGGTGTATGGGACAATGCTCCAACCAACTGAGCCACTCGACCAGAGTGGGTTTTAATTTTTTTAACTAAACTTTTTATTTTGAGATAATTGTAGACTCACATTCAGTGGTAAGAAATAATGAAAAGAGAGTGTTGTGTCCTTTAGCCAGCTCCCCTTAATGGTAATATACTATAAAACTGTAGTAGTGTAATATCACAACTGAGATGTTGACATGGGCATAGTCAAGATAGAGAACATTTTCATCATTTCAAGAATCCCTCATGTTACCCATTTATGAACACTTCCTCCTCCCTCTTTCCTCTACACGCCCTCCCTTTAACCCCTGGTAACCATTCATCTGTTATCCATTTATATACTGTTGTCATTTCTAGAATATTACAAATTTAATTGGACAGTATGTAAGTTTTGAGGATTGGCTTTTTCCACTTAACATTATTCTCTGTAGATTCATCTATGTCATTGTTGTATGTATCAATAGTTCATGTTATTTTGTTGCTGAGTAGTATTCTATGGTATATATGCACCATAGTTTGTTTGACCTTTGCCCTATTGAAGGGCATCTGAATTGTTTCAGATATTTGGCTCTTATGAATAAAACTGTTTTGAATGTTCATGTACAGGCTCTGGGTGAAAATAAGTTCTTATTTCTCTGGGGAAATGCCCAGGAATGTATGGATCATATGGTAGTCACATATTTAGTTTTATAAAAACCTGCTAAACTGTTTTCCAGAGTGGCCATACCATTTTGTATCCCACAAGCAATATATGAGTGATCTAGTTTCTCTACATCCTCACCAGCATTTGTTGTCACAATTTTTTATTTTAGCCCTTCTGATAGGCGTATATCAAAATCTCATTGTGATTTTGATTTGCATTTCATTAATGGAAATGACGTTAAACATCTTTTCATGTGTTTTTTTGCCATATGCACATTCTGTTCAGTGAAATGTCTGCTCATGTCTTTTGCCTGTTTTCTAATTGTATTGCTTGGGTTTTTAATTTATTTTTTACTGTTGAGTTTTAAGAGTTCATTATATATCCTAGATTCTAGTGCCTTATTGGATATGTGATTTGCAAATATTTTCTCTCTGTTTGTATCTTGTGTTCTGAACCACTTAACAGTGTATTTTATAGAACAAAGGTTTTTAATATTGATAAAGTCTCATTTTTTTTTTTACTTTTATGGATCATGCTTTTGGTGTCAGGTTGTAAGAACTCTTCATTTTGTCTTACACCTTGAAGATTTTCTTCTATTTTTTTGGAAAAGTTTTATAGTTTTCTGTTTTACAGCGATGTTAGTTATTATTTTTATGTTAACTTTTATATAAGGTGTAAGTCTGATGTCAACTTCTTATTATTTGCTTGTTTGTTTGTTTGTTTGTTTTGGCCTATAAAGATCCAATTGCTCAGCACCATTTGTTAAACAGGCTGTTTTCCCTACATTGAATTGTTTTTGTATCTTTATCAAATGTCCATTGGGCATATTTGTATGATTCTATTTCTGTTTTGTTTGTTTGTTTGTTTGTTTTGATCTTCACCTGAGAATATTTTTTCCATTGTTCTTCAGAGAGACTGGAAGGGAAAGAGAAAGAGAAAGATCAGTGGAAGAGAGACACATCCAACTGGTCACCTCCCACATGTTCTCCCCCCCTCCCCGGGACTGGGGATAGAGCCTGCAACCGAGGTAGGTGCCCTTGGCTGGAAATGAACCCAGGATCCGTCAGTCCGAGGGCTGACACTCTAACCACTGAGAAAAAATGGCCATCACTCATTTGTGGTTTTTTTTATTCCATTGATCTATGTGTCTATCCCTCCACCAAACTAACATACTCTTTTTTTTTTTTTAATATATCTTTATTGATTTCAGAGAGAGGAAAGGAGAGGGAGAGAGAGATAGAAACATCAATGATGAGAGAGTCATTGATCGGCTGCAGCCCGCAACCCGGGCATGTGCCCTGGCAGGGAATCGAACCCTGATCACCTGGATCCTAAGTCGACGCTCAACCGCTGAGCCATGCCCGGCTGGGCTAACATGCTCTTGATTACTGTAGATATATAGTAAGTTTTAAAATAAGTTAGACTGATTCATCCCAATTAATTGTTTTTCAAAAATGTTTTAGCTATTCTAATTTCTTTGTCTTTCCATATAAATTTTAGAATAAACTCATCTATATACACAAAAACACTAGCTGGAATTTTGATAAGAATTGCATTATGCCTATATATCAGTTCAATAGATACAAGTTCAGTG